ATTGTTATTCCCTTAATCTTTATAAATAATTCAGTCTTTACCCTCAAAACTTATTATAAACTATATTCATAATAAAATCTATCTTTCAGAGTATAGTTTGTAATACTAATATTTACTTTTAGTTCAATATATAATTTTTATTTAATCTATAAATAATTAATAAATCAACTCTAATCTTAATTCTAACCCTCTTGATTATTAACTCTTCTATATATCAATCAAATTATCTGGTTCCATAAGATTGATAATAAAGAAAGGCTACTATATATAAATAAGAAATTAATACTAAATTATTTATGAAATTTAATAAATATTTAGTGAATTTTTAAGAATTAACTAAAGAAATTAATTTAGAATTAATCTAAATAATAATTTATATTTATAATATCTGTATTAATTTTATATTTGTAAAATTTTTATAATCTTATATAGAATTATTATATATTAACTAATAAAATTAATTATAAATTTATATATTAAATAATTATATTTTTATTTATTTTATATTTATATTTATATTTATTATAATTAATATTATAATAAAAAAAGTCTTGATAATAAGTTAAATTTAAAGTAATATTCTTATTTTTACAAAATAAAAATAAAAAATATAATATTTAAATTTATCAATTATATATTATAATATTTATACTATCAGATAATAAAATTATAAAATATGAATTAATTATTATTGAGTTTAATTATCAAATAAATAATAATAATAATAAAGATAATTTTGAAAAAAAAATAAGTTCTAAATCTTATTATTACATTTCATATAATAATAATACAATTATTTTACTTTTTGTAATATTTTTTTTATTTTTCATAATATTTAAAAAAAACATGACTGAAAAAATGAAAAAGCAATTTCAAATTTTCAGCTGATTTTAACTTTTGATTGGTTTTACCCAGCATAATGTGATATAACATGTGATTGAATAAGTTTGATTCAAGTTGATAGAATAATAATTTTCCTGCAAAAATGGCCAGACGAGGTGTAAATAGCTTTGAAGATTTTGGAGGAATCTACCCAAAAGACTTTCGAAATGGAAAAAAAGACAGTTTTAGAGAAATGGAAGGTATGCTTTTTAAAATTGGGTTTATAGGATTTCGCACATATTCTCATATATCGCTTTGCGTTTTTCTTAGCTGCCATGCAGCAAATAAATCAACAATGGGAGTTCATGATGTCAGACGACGTGAGTACCTGTATTGTATTAGACACTTTGCTATTCATTACATTCGAGTTTTTCCTTGTTCTGATGAGTTTAATTATTTTTCAATAGTTTAATTCTGTCCAGCTTGCGTTAAGCTTGTTAGACGATAGTTCTCTTGGACGTGGTCATGACATTACAGAATTTAGACGCGCCATGGAAAGTTTGAACAGAGCTCTTCAGTTTATTGTTAATGGCAAGCAATTACTTATGTATTTTGCATTCTGAGATTGGATTGATTTCTAATACTCTGAATTGTCATATATTTTCAGATTACTATCAAGGATTTAATAGTTCAATTGGAACTTTTGGTGGTGTTATGCAAAACATTGGAGGTAAATAAATATTGGATTGAATGCTTTTGTCCGTGCAGTTTTCTTATAATTCATTTGATTTTTATAGATTCACAGGATCGTGTGCGTGAAATCAAAAGTCAATTAAAAGAATGTAAACAAGCATTATTATCAAAGCGTGCTGATTTATTACAATTATGGTTTCGAAGTCAACAGTATAAGGAGATGTTACGGATATTGGATTCGATGTATGTTATAACGTATAATTTTACGTATCAATAATCTAGTTCCAGTAATTCATTTTTGAAGATTTTGAATTTATATATTTCTTTAACTGATGTAGAGAAGATATCCAAGGAACGCACCAAAAATTGGAAGGCTTGCTTCGAGAAAAGCATTTTTTGACAGCATCGAAAATCTTATTAGACGCTATTCGGATTATGGATCGCAAGGAGATGATGGGAATTGGTGCATTACATGATTTACGAAGATATCTCAAAGCACAACAAACTGTAAGAGTATACAATTATTTAATATTTATTCATGAATTTTATATACTAATTTATGAAAATTTTTCAGTCACTTCACGAAGTATTGATTGAAGAATTGCATAATCATTTATATTTGAAGAGTCCTTATTGTGCTAGTCGATGGTTCCGATATACAAAAGAACAAAATTCATGTAAGTGATTTTTCATTCATCTATTTTGGATTTTTGATCGTTTTTTCGTATAGTTTTGCATACAAAGCGTTGCTTCGTTTTAATGTTATTTGGCGATAACGTGTAAATACCGGTGTACTTGGATTATTACTCGGCCGAGTATCGGATCTTACATATAGTAGTTTCAATTTGGTTCGTCTGACAGGATAAAGGTATCAAATAACATTCACTTTGTCATTTGTGCTCATTCCGAGATGAGTCAATAAGTGCTAGAAGATTGAGCATTCATACGGATATATAACTATATTTTTGATGAGTTTTGTTGTCATCTTATTGAGGAATTAAGTCAACAGTACTGTATTTTTTTTGGCACTCACTATATTTGATAATAATCGATAACAGATGGTTATTTTTACACACATAACATAGAACATTTATATCTATAAAATGATAAATTGCTTCTATTATCTAAACGGAAGGTTTAAGAATTGCATAATGTTCCCGAATTTAATTTTTTAATTGTTTTGTATGCAATGCTATACGATGTTTCTGCGTGTTTATGCTCGAAATCATATTTATGCAAACTGTTCCTAGTTGCGAAATCTTTTGCTTCAATTCTACCCTATAATTTGTCCGGTGTAAACAGTACCCATGCCTGCGACCGATTGGAATTCAGAAAAGGAATCGCGTAAAAGCTCGAGTGGTCTTAGCTCAAAAAATAAGAAAAATTTGTCTGGTAAGAACTTAAAAAAACTTCAATTATAGTATTATTGATTCTTAAATATATAATTTCGATTTTGGAAATCATTTAGTTAATATTTTGGCCACTGCAGCGGCTCCCCGTAGCCCAAAGTCGCCGATGCCAATGCCATCGCCAAAACCATTGACTATGTCGCCAAAGCTGCAACCGCATGCTATCTTTATTGATGATGATGAAATGGTAAAATTTAAAATGAGAATTTAATTATTTTTTATCGTTATATTTCTTTTTACCATCTTATTCGAACTCCTATTAGATCACTGAAGATTTAGATAGAAATCCAGAATCAGATTCGTTTTATTATATTGAAATTATAATTGAATCTTTGGCATTGTTAGGATTATTGCCAGAAGCGATGGAGGTGCGTGAATCTGCTTTGATTAATTATTTTAACGTGACATGTGCTTAGACGAAGAGATCTTACAAATCTGCTTTATAGATGATAACTCAGCGATTACCGCTTGAACTTTATCAACTAGTCGATAAAACAGTTGCTGAAGTAGAAGAACGGTATAATTCGGATTTATAAATTAGCTTTTTTTGAATTTCTCTCTCATTGACTTAATTGATTGACAATAGGAGAACAGTGCATGTATTCGCTAGTCTAAAGAAAAAGAAGAATGATCCCACAAACATTTACTTACTCGAATCACCTGAAAACGAGGCACAAATGGAAATCCTACGCGATCTGTTGTGGACACTTTATTCTAAACTTAATGCAGTGCTTCAGGGACATCGTTTTATTTTAGATGTGGTAGAGCGGATAAGTAAGGTTAGTAAATACTCGTTCTTTTGAATACTTGACGATTTATTCTTGAGTTTAATTGGAACTTTGCTTACATTTAAAAATAGAGACCAATGTATGCAAAGATAACTGACGGTAAGGTTTATTCAAGACCATTTTATTAAGAAATTTTCACAAAGTTTACTACTAACATTACATTTACTTTTAGAGAAGAAAAAGATTAAGGCATACCCTTTCATCGATATTTGGAAACCAGTTCAGAGCGAAGTAATTGTCACATTATTAATAGATTTCGCTTTTTTATTCAATAATTTATTTATTCCAATGCTTTTTTCTAGCTGCGTACTCTATTACGCGATTATATTACTGATGATGAGAGAGAAACAGTATCTTTTACAACACCTGTTGCGACCATTAATGATATGATGCGAGATCGAAGAGGAAGGGATAGGACAAAGGTAACACTAGATCAAAAATTCGCATAATATTTTTATTTAATAAATAACGCGTAAATCAATATTCTATAGCAAATATTTAAATTCTCAGACGTTGACATGACTTCAAATATTGAATTGGATGATCAATATGAGTCGGATATTAATAGCATGTTACAGAAATCACTACCAAATTTGTTTGCTAAATTACCTGATGAAAAATCACCCACCTCTGTCTTGGTAGTAGACAAATTCGCCAATACGAACATTTCAGTTGGTCATCGGCTAGTTGTGAGACCTGACGCGTTTAATGTGTCAGTGTTGTTTAAACCAACTTTGGTCTTCTTGGATAAAGTTAGGGAGATTATACCATCAAAGTATATATAAAAAAGGACTTTGATTTACATGTTAAATTGCATTCTTTTAATTCTATTACTAATTTTATGCAGTACCACTACTGTGGACTTTTCTGGATTCCTTGATGATTTTGTATTCAATGTTTTCTTACCACAAATTGAGGATAAGGTCATGGAATTATTACATCAAGCAACAACCGGTGAGTGCAGGTATTCTTGAGTCACGTGAATATGATGATTAATAACTGATTTTTCTTTTTACTATTTGTGAAATAGATTCGGATGCGTTTCAGGAAGATCCAAACCATAAAAGATATACAACTTTACCATTAATTAAGGTATTTTTGTTTGGATTAATTGATAAAAATATAAATTCGCTATTAAACATGATTTCTTTATAATTTAGAGTGCAACTACATTAATGAAGTTGGTGGAAAGCTTATGTGCAATGCTTCGCACAATGACTTTCCACAAAGAAGAATATAGTAGAATGATTATTTCTGTGTTAACACAATATTATGTTAAATGCTTTGAACAATATCAAGGTATTAAATCAATTATTATTTCTTTATTGGGCTCGCCTTGTGTGCAATTTGTAACGTTTGTTCAACCACATATAGCTATTGTGTCAAAGGGTTCTTTGAGTGACGAGGGTACTAATGAAAGAACAGGGAATGCGCAAAAAACTAGTGCAATGTGGGTACAACAGGATCAACTTTCCGAAATATTTACGCAATATCCTTACTTGGATGAGAATGACATCGAGAATCGTAAAAAGCGAAAATTACTATGTGAAAAGGTACGATTAAATTCAATTGTCTTGTCTTCTGGATAGACCGCTGCTTTATTCATCTTTTTGTTATAATAAACAACAGGAAACTCAGGCTGAAATGAAATTGAAAAAAAATCGCGTAATTAGGTCTGGTGAATTGATTTTTGATGGGAAGAAATTAAAAGCGCTAGGCTATCTTTATCATAGTTTGGTAATTAAAAGTTGTTTTATTTTTGAAATTATTAAATATATTTATATAATATTTTCGCGCTTTTATTTGATTAGAAATGGTTTGTGGGTAAAATCTGGCAGCTACGTGGACGTGATTCTAAGGTGACGGGTTTGATAAATGGAAAAATGGATGATGGACTTTTGGTAATTTTATTTTACGTAGTTGATATGATATAAAAAGATACGCGTAATGTTAAACTATTTATGCTCTTAGGCCAAAGTAAACCGTCGTTGGTCTTCATATGATGATATACCAAAGACTGATCGTCTAGATGAAGAGGCAAGGTTACCATTGACAGGAGAGATGGCAAAGTAAGTCTTCTTTGGATTATAAGCCTCGAGAAATATACAAATGAAAATTACTTATTATGTGGGTGTTTTTTAGTCGATTTGACGCGCTTTTGGCAACCTTTCAACAATTAGCTGAACAATGCTTATTTACACTACGCGTTGAACTTCGATGTCATACACTTCACTATATAGATATGGCAATGCGAGAGGTACCAATGTCAAATCGAGTATAATTTAATGCATTTTTTGGGTTAATTTAAAGATTATATCATCCTTGGATTATATTAGGGTAACTATCAACTTCAGGAAGCAGCATCCGAACCAGATCCATTTGTTCTTATGCTTAATTCGGATTTAGTCCACTTTGATGAGTGTATTACATCTAGTTTACCAATAAGAGAGCATAAGTAAAGATCATTCAATTATTTTTTCTTTCTAATGATTAATTGCAATGTGCTAATGCCAGCTGAAATTATTTCTTTCATATAGGTTTGTGTTCGAAGGCATAGATTCTCTAATGGAGCATGTCCTTATTTCGAATGCTACCTATATAAAAAGTCTGAATTTCAGCGGAGTTACAAAGATGAAACGTAACATATTAGCTTTACAACAAAATCTACGAAATATCGTAGATACGCCAAATCAAGTTTCGTTTGATCGTGCACAACAGTACTACGAATTGCACAGAGTTGGCGCTGCGGTAATTATAGACACTCTCCATTTTCGTTGTTTGACTTCCATATTAAATAACAATTTTTATTACAGAATATGTTAAAATTAATTCGCGAAAAAGGTGCTGTATTCTCTTTTGAAGAATATAAAACGATGCTAGAGATTATCTACGGTATAGAGAGCGAACAACAAAAGCATTCTTCTGCTGCGCGTCATGAAAGTCCGTCTCAATCTAGAAGAATGTTTAATGAACATTTGATAGAGTTAAATGAGCTTATGCTGGATTTCCTGTAAATTATAATATAACGATAACTTGATAGAATAGTTAAAAATAGACCGCTAATTATTTAATTGGTTATATAATGTTAATATTAAATTATTATTAGAAATTTAATTCTTTAGTCAAATAAGGTTTTTATTTATGTGATGATATTTGCATTCTTATCAACAATCGAGTACAATGGGGATTGTTCGGTCCTAATAAGTTCACAATCCGGACTAGTTTCTTTGGGCCCTGGATCTGGACCGATCTGGACCTATCTTGACTTGTTCGTCCGAAAATAGTATAAGAGATGCCAATGTGGATGGTACAGTCCATAAATTTAATAGGATCGAACCATCCTTGGAGTCTGAATGGCCACATGGCGAATATTCACAAACAATCAAGGAGCTTTGACGAATTTAGTATGTTAGTGATTAACCAAATATATGAGCCGAGACCAAATACAGGTTTCATTATAAAGTGATACCTGATTATTGTACCTGGGTCACTCATTCATCTACTGAACCAATAAAATCTTTTCATCAAATTTGACAATACATACAAGTCAATTAAAATAACCCCATTAAACCGAATCATTAATTTAAATGAATTTGGATCCAGGAATAGTTTTAGCAAATCTCCCTCAATAAATCGAATTTTTCTTACTAAGAGCCCGACAGTTCGGTTAACCGTATATGATTAAATATTTATAAGATAGAATTTCAATACTAAATTATGGACGGTACCAAAACGGACCGTAAGTTTTCAGACTGGTCTAGTTGTGTATCGGGACTAATTTGAACTCCTAAACATGGTACTCATAGTATTGAAACCTTATGTATGCAATTCGTGTTTTGACTTTAAGTATATTTTCGAAATTGAATTTTATAAATCAACTCTCAGTTATTGTTGGCAGAGAATTTTGAATGTAGATACATAATCTAAAGAAATAATGTAATTACAAACAATTTATATGTCATACTAACTAGAGTTGGCTGCATATCGATAGTTTTAGGTTATAGTTCAGGAAACATAGAACTATGATCGAAACTAGTTTATGACATATCATATTAATGAAAGCAAAAAAGGCCGTTGTAAGTGTCAGCGTCATATGCCAATACAAAAATTTGCCCGTCTTTTGAGTATTTTATTATAAATGTGAATATGTTTATAATGAAAATTTGGGTTGATATACTGCTAATGCTTCTAATTCCGTTAAATTATAAATTCCTTTTATATCCATATTAGAAATTTAATATCGGACTGACCGTTATACATAGTTGACTATATAGCACCTTTATATTATTGAAAATTTAGAGCTTCGTTGAAAATTCGATATTCTTGCATAAAATTCTTAACATTTTATTGGAATTATGTCAATGTTTGTTGGATTTTTTGCTATATTTTATCTAAAAACGACGCCGAAAATCTTGCTGATTTTGGATTTTTTATTAACATTGTTGAATTTATGATGGCTCGTGTCCAAATTTTGCATTCTCGTATTAAATACAATGAACATGACAAGCAAAAAAAAGCTGCAAAGTAAGATGATGTAATTTATCGTGCAAAAACAAGCACGAGTGAAACTCAGGTGCTATTTCAATTTTTCACAATTATTATTATTTTCATGTTCCAGTGAAATTTTATTCATTATAATGCTATCAATATAATCAAACAAACCCTACCCCACTTGTAAATATTATATAATGACATTAGCATATATACATATTATTGTTTATGTATTACCTCATTGTTGTTGTCGTATTTGTCGTAGTTTGGATGCTTGCTCATACTCCTTCTGCTGATTCTGCAGTCTATCATCAAACTTCAAAAAAAAAACGACGTAATGTTCAAAAAAGAATAATTGACATACAAAAACGTGGTTGTGCGAGTTTCTAAAAAAGAAAAATCGACATCATTATATAAGATATCACGGTAATTTATCGGGACTTTGAATACTATCTATATCGATATGTAATATAAAATCAAAATTTTTGGTTTTCTTAAATAATTTTAAATACTACTGGAAAGGTATAGCTATAAACTAAGATTTGAAATTTTTTCCCTGAAGTTATGAATTTTTACATAGCATTAAAGGTATGCTTTAAATTTTCACGTAGTCATTAAGACATGCTTTACATCTTTAAAGCTATTGGAATTTTAAATTTTTACATGACATTAAAGCATGCATTAAAGCAAGCCACATATTTTGTAATTAGTTGATAACATAAATGGTTTCCTTTTATCTAGTCTATCGAACTTCGATACATGTATTTGATCACGCATACACTTATCTCCCTTGGTTATTTGTCATCGTATATAATAATCAATGGTTCTTTTCCCTTAATCAAAATAATATTAAAAAATTCCTATTATTACTGATTCGATTGATTATTATTTTTAGCGAACGGCTCATTCAAGGTGATTTTGCCATTGTTTATTTTACCATGTGGCAGGACAAGAACAAGAGACAGCATTAGAATTGAAACCCGTTTTTTCGCTCATTCTTTTTTTTGACTTTGTACAGCAGGCATTGACATTAACGAAAATTGGCATAATTAATTAGGTTAATGCTAAATGAATACTTCCGAACAATGGAAAGGGGAATATCTGATAATATATTATTATGAGAATTGGGTAAATAAAAGTTTTTTAATTTAATTAATTTAATTTAATATTTTTCGCTAATTACAATAATGTTATTGTAAATTACAATAAAAAAAATGTCAAAAAAACGTAAAATGGAATATTTGGTGGTAAGGTGGTTCTATTATCCTATTTGCATAGAAATCACATGAAGAAGATGCAAATTGGCTGCGTGTTAGTGCATCATAGCACACGAAAATAACTTCTACTGACTTTTTTTCTTCGCTGAGTTGTTGTGTACATACGTACGTACGTGTGTGTGTGTGTGTGTGTGTGTGTGTGTTATTATGCGAAGATAAAAACTTTTGACAGGAACAGACAATTTTTAATATATTTATTGCTCACTTGTCCTGATGAATAATTATCATTTTTTTTATTGTTAATTTAGAGTTTCAAGTCAATCTACACGCATTTTTGACCGTATATTTCATTTATAAAAGTACACTATCACCTAAAGGCAAGATTGTGAGAAAAACTTTTATGGTTAATATACTTTTTGTCATTGATATGCTGTTGTCAGTCATTTAGACACCTAATTTTAATGTTATACCATAATAGCGAGCATTTGAAATATAGTCATTGAGAGAGGGTCTTTTTGCCCCTTTTTTTCTTTTCTTTTTTCTTAATACTACTATTTAAATATTAAGATTACTATTTAAATATTTAATACTACTATTTAAATATTAATATTACTATATTCCTCATAATAATAATAATATTATTATTTTTATTTTTATTATTATTATTATTATGATGACTACTTCTTTTAATATTACTTCTTTTTAAATATTATCATTACTACAGTAAATAATAAATGAAGTATATAGTGCATAAAAAATTTTACATTATCATCATGTTCAATAATCAGTAATAATTATAATAATCAGTTGTATTGAAAATGTGGCGGCGAATAAAAAGCAAAAATACGAAACAAGCAAGATAATGTACACTCTGTTGGAACGTCACCGAATATCTCATGCTTTTTGACACTTGACTTATTATCTTTTTTACTCTCTCTTATTAAAATAATTATATTATTAAATATATTTAAACTAATAAAAATTTTTTGCTATCGTCACAACGAATCGAGTTAAGAGTATAAATATAACAGATTTTGTCAAAATGTTTCCTCTCGTCTTTTGCCAAAAACCAAATTTTCTTAAACTTCGCGCAAGTCTCTTTATTACATCGTCATCAACTTCATCTTTACTCGTTTTTTCTCTTCCCATATTTCCGAACTTAAGTTCTTCCCGTTTTCCCATCCCTAAGTTCTTGCATTCCTATTCACCGCTCACGCCACGTTTCGAATTTTCTCCAAAGACCATTAACATATCTTGCAAACTTTAACGAATATTGAAAAAAATAGCACACACCAAGTCAAGAATAAAAAAAACACATTTTCGATAATTACAGTTTAAATAATGATGATAAGTATTCAAGATATTTTGGAACAAGAACCACCACAATCGCAACCACCACCTGAGAAAGAAATATCCGTGCGTCCCTATCAATGCAAAATATGTCTCAAAAGATTTCAGCGATCTGAGCATTTAAATCGCCATTTTCGTAGACATACCGGGGAGAGACCGCACGAATGTCCATGGGAAGGATGTGATAGGAAATTTTCACGTACAGATGAATTAAAACGCCATAGAAGGACCCACGAGAAGCAAATTAAGAAAAAAGAAAATAATCATAACGGAAAACTCTCCTTTAGAAACACCATTTCGTACTCGCAAAATTCATCTTTTGCACAACCATATCATGCGCTCACATATATTTTCACCGAACCATCTTCGCTGATTAAACATTGTCCAGTGAGTGGTTGCACAAAAACTTATGCACGATCTGGTAACTTGTACAAACATATTGAAAAATGTACTGCTGCGAAACGCGTTGCTTCCGTCTCAGCAGATGTGTTAGATGAGAATAATTATGACTCAATTGTTCCTCCGTTGAGTCCCGTTTCTTCCACTTGTTCCTCCGAAGATTATTCGTCAGCATCTTTTTCTGTTTACAGTGGCGCTAATTCTGATGCTGAAGAACACGGTTCTCCTATTTTGCGTGGTCATTCATCTATTACTCCTTCTGATCAGAATATTACTACTGACTATGTTCCTCAATTCTCTGAATCTCATCCTAATGTCGCTGTTATATCAAACTACGGCGACAATAATAACAACAACAACAACAATAATAATAATAATAATAACCATCATAATAATAATTACCAAAATAATTCTTATCATCATTATAATGATGTTGAATATCAATTTCAACAGCAACAACTTCAAGACCAATTACGCGATCGCCCTGCTCCAATGGAATGTAAGCAAATTTACCTTGCAGTTTCTCCCACAGCTGCAACCCGCTAAATTACATGATATCTTTGATTTTACGGCTAATATTTTTGGTTTATGGTGAATGAAATTCCCACTGTCTTTCTCTTTCTTTTCTCTTTCTCCCCCGTTCTTTTTATTATTTCTTTCTTTTTTCCATTTATCTTATTATTCCTCTGTTTCTTTCCATTATTTGGATTCCTCCCTCTATCACATGGTTTTAATTTTCAACGCCTTGTAAATACGTGGTTTTTTTTTTCTCGCTTATAACTTAATTTCTCGTAATTTTTCCTAAATACCAAAAAAAAAATTCTTACGTTTTTCATATATGGATCGACACAAGATGTGTTAGTGTTTTTGACCTTGATAAATTTCTTAAAAAAAAAAGCGCGAATTCCCCACCCACAGCATTAAGTTTATTCTAATCATCACTCTTGCTTATTATTGCTATGTTTCTTCTATTAAATTTTTTATTTATAAATTACTTAATTACTAAAAATATATGTGAAAAACCTACATCCGGATCACTTTCTCTTAATATTCTTAAAAATAAAAATAAATAAGCCAGATAAAAGTTGCTATTTTTTCAAATGAAACAAGAGTACACAGTATACTACTATGTATACAATGAAGACAATATAAAAACTGTCAAAGACGCGTGGGTTAAAGATTTTTGGGATCGGTGTGTTGTGTTTGTGTGAGCGATGATGTAACGCGTTTTGGAATGGCATAAAATTTGACAGGTGCTGCAAGAGAATATTTGATTGCTGTTGTTTACCCGATGCAACTTTAACAATAGTCGGAATTATTATTATCACCCGTTCATTTTCAATCATTTTGTACTATAGTGATCAATAAAAAAAATTAGGCAAGGGGAGACAAGATATAAACCTGTCAAGAGAAAAATTGATTTACTAAAGGAACACACGCGTAACTTGTTATTGAGTGAATCTCGGCATTAGAATAACCTAAAATAAAATGTTATTTGATAGCTTAAATTGTTTTAGGGATTAAATGAATGTGGGAAAAGCTGTCAAAATTCTTGAATAACGGTAATACAATAATACAATACAAAAGTATGAAATATGGGCAATCTTGACATATCGACCGCACAAATCTATCATATTTATGACTATTCTAATAAATATATAATATATATGCGCACTCATTCATAAATTTTGGGTAACTTAACTCGCTTATTTCGCGTGTTACTCATGTCTACCAATAATTGTATGTATGCGCTTTGTGAGAGATTGTGTGTTTGTGACGATATCGGGGCTTGAAACCTTAATAAAAAATTCACTTGACGACAACAATGATAATAATATGGATTACCAAACGACCCATAAATGATTATATTGTTGTCAGTTATGGTTGTCACGACCCGGTGATAATGAGAATGAGGTCAATTATTGCCAGAATGACATCGTTGAGTAATTATGCTTTGAATGGAAGCTGCGATATGCTTTATTACTCATTGATTAACGTAATTATTATTAAGCCTCTCCGTTCTTCTCCTCATTTTTTCCCCTTGTGTGGCACTTTCATGAAAAAATTTTTTGGTGTCATCGTTCATTCAAAGAAAGAAGTTCTCTGATCGTTTGGCACATAGCATCGCATGTGCTTACTTGTGGTCATCTTATACGAATTAAGAATAAAAATTAATTTGCTCTCTGTACCTCGAATAACCCCAAGGGTAGTCTACTTTGAAATATAAAAAAATAATATATTATTTCGTTCATTATATTCTATTAATAGTTAGGTCATTATTGAATATAAAAAGAATAAGTGGGCAAATAAATGATGACACGGGATAAAAGATCTATATTGGTGATACCATCGAATGTTTTTAGAAGTAGGAGCCAACACCTTTTTTTCTCATTATTCATGTTGTGAAACCGCATGGATTATGCGCAATCATGAGCTTTTATTTTATATATATTCAAAATAATAATAATAATATTCTTATAGAACAAGTTCAAATAATAATAATATCAATCATAATAATAATAATAAAAACATGTATAGGGCGGGTATATTGTATACATAATTATTATGAATATTGATAATGTAAATCGATCATTCTCTCTTGACAGTTTGTCAAAAGTTTAGATTGCAACGAGTATGGCTATTTGACATATTAGGAATCAATACTATGCAATATGCGCTTCTAACTAATCGATATTATGCCGAATGATATCAAAATTCATCGACAATCTGCGAGACTTTTGGGTAGTAAAAAAATCTAAAAAATCTCTTTTAGAATAAGATCACAATATCGTGCACAGGCATACCCTTGCCTTAAAATATTCTTTGTTTTCAAAAGAAACGGTCTAAATCCTGCAGAAATATTGAATTTTAACATAAATTGCTGTAAAAATATTGGACGTAAACTAAACCAAATTCAGCGAATTTTAAAGAGGAGATTTTTGTGGATTTTAGTCAATTTTTCATAATTCCAATAAAATACCTGGGTTAAATTTTTTTGCTTTAATGGGTACAAGGTCAATTTATGAATACAAAATTATGCGTATTAACTAACACCACCCGGAATCATCACTCTAATTATAAAATCGATCAGTATTAATAACTATTGTGCTCTTCTGATTGTTTAATTGGAATATCGATGAACATTAAATCTCTAGCACAAACTACTTGGTCACTTTCAAATGTTTGGACCGCAGCTTGACGAATCTCTTCCATGATTTGAATATGCTCATTGGTTTCACCACCTTGATATCGATGACTGAAGTGGGTTAACACTAGTTTCTTCGCTCCGACTCTACATAGAAAATTAGTGATTCAATAAAAACTAACAGCTAGCAATTAATCACGGAAATACCTTTTTGCGAATGCACCGGCTTGATCGGCAGTTGAATGTCCGTGAGATTTAGAGCGTTGCTCGATCTCCTCATAATTAGCAGATTTCCCATCCAAAGAAGTCAAAGCATTTGTACTTTCATGTACCAATAGGTCGGCACCTTTTGCTAACTGTGCAATGCCTGTTGGATCGAATGTATCTCCGAGTATGACAATCTTTCGTCCAGGTTTCTTAGGTGGCGGTTTTAAGACAGTTCCATCAGGAAGTTCTAGCGTTTCTCCATCTTGCAACTTCTTTATCAACGCCAATGGATTTTTTAAACCTAATGCTTCTCGATTACGCATCAATGGTGGCTTCATCTCGTTAATATCAATTTTACCGGGTAATGGCTTCTCGTGATAAACATAACCTAGACAAGGGATACTATGCTGGATTGGAGCTGCATAAACGGTACATGATGCATCATCAAATACAATCCATTGATTTTTGGTTTCATCAATAAGCAAGTTTTCTCCCATCAACTCATTTTGATGTAACTTCTCGTTATCGTCGAGTGAATCGATTGGGTCATTGACAAATAAAAGTTCATGTACTCTGTACATACGACCTAGATTTGAATAAGTTAGGGATAAACTATTACGCAGATAACGGCGTAGTCCAGATGGACCATAAATCTCTATTGGAAGAGTATCTTCACTTTCCTCATGACCTACAACGAATGAATTGTTCATTGTACATAATAACGGTGCCAACCCAAATACATGATCCTGATGAAGTGACAATAGTTAATGTCAGATAAATTGATTTAGGATTCGAAAGTAATCTTTGGATTTTTCTTACACCATGCATATGAGTTATAAAAATACGATCAATCTTGCTCCATTTTATAGTTACTTTTGAAAAGTTTTTTGTTTTCATGATTTGATGTTGTGTCGCTTCAGCCGTATCAAATAACCAGGTAATACCATCGATTATCAGGGCAATAGATGATGGATTTCGAGTTGCGGATGGCTGAGCAGAGGATGTGCCAAGAAATATAAGTGAGATTGAAATTGGCATTGATGATTTTATAAAATTAACAAATTTGACGATTATATTTATGCACAAAATTTAGACATTTACTGGAGACAATTTCAATCATTATTTATATTTCTTTTTTTATTACTTTTGTGATAACAAAAATGAATCATGTGCTTATTTATAATCTACAGGAGAGCCCCCGTAATGATAGTTTTTCCAAAAAGGGATGAGATAATTTTGCCAGCATATAATTTTTGCAACTAGTGTTTATTATATACTCTTGCACTAAGCCAATTTTATATTTACAATTAAGCTAATTACCAAACCAAAGTTAGCATAGTTAAAATTTGATTAACTAATTATTAAATTCACATTATTATTAAATATTTATTATCTTCGAAACAAAAATTTATTAATATTAATAAAATCAAATATCTATTAATGAATATTTATTTATTACTTCAAGTTGAGTATTGTCCGTTTTCGTCGCCGTCGCGGCTGGTGATAGCGTAGGAGTTGGTAGTGGTACCGGTACCGGCGTTGGTGGCGGTGTTGATGATGGCGGTGATGATGGTGATGATGATGAACCAGGTTCTTTGGGTGTTTCTTCCTTTGCCTCCGGTGAATTTGACCGAGTGAGTTCTTCAAAAGGATTCTTTTCTGGGAAAGGCCTCTTTCCCAATATAGAGATCATGTCTTCACGTTTCAAAACTTCTTTTAATAATAAAAATTGCGCTACCTTTTCGACATCATTTTTACGATCGGTCAATAATTTTACTGTCCGTTCATATGCCATTCGCACATGATTTCTAACCTCTTCATCGATCATACGTGCCGTCTCTTCTGAATAAGGTTTCTGAAACTGAGGTTCATTATCACCCGGATTATGGAATGACAATGAGCCAATACGCGCATTCATTCCATAGGTTGACACCTGAGCATATGCCATTTTGGTGACTTTTTGTAGATCATCCTGTGCACCAGTAGTAACAATGTTAAAAAAAATTTCTTCAGAGACACGACCCCCCAGTGTCATACACATGCGATCAAGTAGTTGAACCGTAGAGTATAAATATTGATCTTTTGGTAGATATTGTGCATATCCGAGCGCACCTATTCCTCGTGGAATTATCGAAACTTTAAGTAACGGATCAGCATGCTCCAAGAACCAGCCGGCAACCGCGTGTCCTGCCTCATGATATGCAACAGTTTTCTTTTCTTCAGGTGACAATAATCGTGATTTCTTTTCGAGACCAGCGATAACTCTTTCGATTGCCTGTTCAAAATGTTCTTCTCCGACCCAATCTTTATGATATCTGGCTGCTATTAATGCTGCTTCATTACAGACATTAGCAATGTCAGCTCCGGAAAATCCAGGCGTTAAAGAGGCTAATTTATTCGCCAAATTCTCACTATCTTCTTTTATCTTAATTGGTCTAAGATGCACTTTAAATATTTCACTTCTTCCTTTTATATCTGGTCGATCTATCGCAATATGACGATCGAATCTACCAGGACGTAATAATGCTGGATCAAGTACATCTGGACGATTAGTGCCTGCTAACACTACGACGTGTTCACTTGAACCAAAACCATCCATTTCTACCAATAGTTGATTAAGTGTACTTTCACGCTCATCATTTCCACCAAATTGTCCACTTTTACCCCGCGCTTTACCTATCGCATCAATTTCATCGACAAAAATTATGCAAGGTGCATGTTTTTTTGCATTGGCGAATAAATCTCGAACACGCGAGGGACCGACACCAACGAACATCTCTACAAATTCGGATCCGGAAACACTTAAGAAAGGAACACCGGCTTCACCTGCAGTTGCTTTAGCTAATAATGTTTTTCCGGTACCTGGAGGACCACTCAAAATTGCTCCTTTAGGAATTTTCGCACCTAATTTCTCATAAGTTGTTGGATCTTTTAAAAATTTAACAAATTCCATAATCTCTTCTTTTGCTTCGTCCATTCCTGCTACATCCTTAAATTTCACCTTGACGTCTGTTTCATGATTATATAATTTGGCTTTTGACTTACCAATACCAAATATGCCTTGAGACCCGGCAGCACTACCTGCACGTCTAGTAATCCAAAAGAGAGCCCCAGCTAATAAGAGTGTAGGCGCGAAATGTAATAATGTATTCATAATATTTATTTCATCATGATATGCTACCGGTATGCGTTCAATAGATGGAATTGCCAGTTCTCTTTGTGCATCTTCCAATTTTCGTTCGAAAGCTTCCACAGAACCAATGCTAAAGTGATATTGTACACCCGGTTGAACAGGTGGATTCGGATACATTTGTCCAGTGACATTAGAGTGCAAATAGACTTTAACTTTTTTTCTATTCACCACCACCAATTTATCTACTAATCCCTTATCCAAAAATGCTGTTCGGAATTCTTGCCATGTAATCTCACGGGAATTATCTGCACCAGTAAACTTATATAAAAGATATGCTGAAAACATTAATGGTATTAATGTATTGACATTAATACTCATAGTCCAAGTGTCTTTTGGGTTTGGTTGCTTAGGTTTATTAGATTTATCGTCATGTGGAGGACGTGGAATGTTCTCGGTTTCAGGATGTGATGATTTTCCGTCTTGGTTTTGATTATCTGAAGCACTGCTAGGTCTTCCTTTCTTTAAGAAATTATCAAAGCCTTTGGGCGTTTTTTTTGACATAATCTGCTCTAAATCTTTTTCAAAGTTAGAGACATCCTTTTTTTGTTCCGGCGAGTCTTGATTCCTGCTTTGTTGTTCGTTTTTTTCTCCATTTTTATGATCTTTATGTTGTTGGTTATTTTCAACTTCAGTAGCGTATAATCTAGTAAATCTTGGTAATTTTCTCTCAAGTAGAACGCTACTTCGCGAAAAAAGAGCGGGGTTACTTGTAAATTTAATGTGACTAGACAAAAAATTACTAGAATATTCCCGTATTGTATAACGAAAGGTAAAGGTTGTTCGACAATCGATTGCATTACGAGTGCGAACTAAGAAAGAAGACATGATAGATTGATCAACCGGTAAATAAATCCAATGACGCACTCGTCTTATATTTGACTATCAATAGATCGATCGATGAGTAATTGAATGTCTTTCAAGAAACGCGCAGTGGTTTCTAATTCTGTTCCCAGGGCTTCCTCATCTACATTATCTGGAAGCACCTTTGCCTTTAAAGCTAAAAAAAATATTCCTATTGGAACACGTTTATCCCCGTACAATGGACAATTACTGATTTCAACAGGAGTACCGTCTTTAGATGATATCCTTTGTGATTTTGTTCCGTTTAACAAAGATCTAGCGAATATTTAGCGTATCTTTTTTGAATATTTGTATATTTCAAGATATTTATATAAGAAATAAAAGAAAATAAATCTTTATTGATTTGTGAAAAGCATCAATGATTCAAGCTCTTTTGATCTTCAGGATACATTATAAAGTTAAACAAATTATTTTATCAATGATAGGATCTTTAACATATATCTCGATATAAACATATTTTAGGCGGTGGAATACCACTCGGCTCGCTATTTCTGATCTTTGAGGATAGAAATACAGATTATGCCAAATTATTATTAAAGTATTTCATAACGGAGGGTTTGGCTCATGAGAATAGAGTTTTAGTGGCGAGCGCTGATGAAGAACCGCAGACTCTTGTGAAAGGGTGTATGTGGTTAAGTTGTGATGATGATGACATGGACAATGTTCGGAAAGAAGGTAGCGATAATTATGGGATGAAGAAAGAAGAAAGGAATCATGATAAAAATGATGAAAATGACGGAAGAGAAGAGGAAGGGGAAGGCGATAAAATGAAAATTGCGTGGAGATATAAAGGATTGAAAAAACTTGGCGCTCAAGGTAAATAATATATAATAATGCTTTTAGTAATTAGATTTAATTAATGAATTTTATCAATATCCAAATCATAGTTCCTGTTCCTCCTTCAATACAAAATAAAAAAATTAGCCTTGATAAATTACCATCTTCACAAGAAGATCAATCAACACAACCATTTTGCCACACATTTGATTTGACTAAAAGAATACCTGAAAAGATTATAAATGCTGCATCATTATCGTTCATTGATGTCATTGAAGTATTGAATGCTGATGAATCTAATTTATATGAAAAATTATTTAATGAAATTAAAAAGATTTTGAAGGAGGATAATAAGCAAGCGAGGTTTGTGTTTTTGTATATCTTTGTTCTATAGATGTATATCTATTTATAATTTATTCTCTTCAGCTTGTCGGACGAACAAGCCACGTCACAGAATGTTTTACGAATTGCTATACAATCGGTTGCATCCCCAATGTGGCCAATTGCTGCTTCTTCGCAGGTAATCAATCGATCAATTTATATTCTCGTCAGTTCTCGTAATATTATTACTAATTTTACTATGTTCATTATCATATTAAGGAAGTATACAGATTTTTTCACGCTTTACGCGGTTTATTGCGATCAACAAATAACGTCGCTGTGATGACAATACCTGCACATTTATATATACATTCAGCAGGAGGAGTGTCGCCTTCTATATCATCTATTCCGTTTATGAAAAGAATTGCTCATGTCTGTGATGCGGTAGTCGGAATAGAATCGTTTGCCGGTAAAAAACATTTAATGTAAAAATTGTTGTTGCTGCTATTATCTTATTTTTTTAATAATCTTTTTATTTAGGCTCACCACAAACATCAAATTCCATCTACACCTCTCAATATAATGGTTTATTTCACGTACACAAACTTCCTACAATAAATTCATTGCTCGCGCCAGCTACTAAACTATCAATACTCTCCGGGGGTGGCGGAGATCAATTAGGATTCAAATTACGTCGAAAAAGATTTAGCATTGAGAAATTTCATTTACCTCCTGAAGGTGGCGTCGGTGAACGTAGAACTATGGCTAGTGGCGGTGATGACGGTGAAGTTGAGAATGCACATAAAAGTTTAAAGAAATTTGATGATGCTAGTAATAATGATATTAACAGTAAAAGAAATAGTAATATTATTGTAAATATTAAACCTAAAAGATTAATTGGTGATGGTTCTATTGAATTTTAATATATAATAGATTCAAAAGAATTATTTTCGTCTTAAAATGATCACTAAATCTGTTTTTTGATTTGACATTAAAATAAAGTGAATATATTACGATCAGACCCTTTCTAAATGCGAATCTTCTTAAAAGCACGCATTATGTTTACCCTCTCCAATTATAGCAAAATTAGCAAAAGTAATTTAAGTAACATAACTAAAGTAATATTTGTAGAACTATCAAATATATAAAAAATGATGTGTCTTAATTATAAAATATTATAAATATAATTTAAAATTTATTATATAATTAGATTTTTTTATCTTCAAATTATCAAGCAGACAAATTTATCTGTTTAAATTTTTTTAGATTATATTTTTATTTTATTTTATTATGATTAAATAAAAAATGATCTAAATTAATTTTTTATATTATTTTAATTATTATATTATACTTTAATTTAATAATAAATAAAGTATAAAAAAAAGTTATTTTAAATATTATTATTATCAATTTGCAATATTAGAACTTCAAATTATATAAGTAGATTGCTTTAGATTTATAAATATATATTTTAAATTTTATAAAAATTAAATTAGTAATTATAAAGATATTAAGATTCAAAGTTTAGTAATTAAATTATTTATTATATAATTTTTATATTAATTTTAATCTAATAAAATTTAAGAAATAATAATTCAAAAAAGTTTAATTTTTTTATAAAAGATATATAATAAAAATTTTTACATTCAAATAAATCCTAATACCTAATAACTTAATTAAATAAGA